AGCTAGTAGCAAAACTGCATTACCAGAAGCAACTTCTGGTTTGCCAGGTAAGATTAGTTTATTTCAACTACCCTACTAGAGTGCTGCATTGCTCTTTTTGTTATGTTAGTAAAACCATTTCTTGCACTGAACCATGTCAGCACTTGATAGTGACCAAGTATGCAATGGACCTTAAATTAAGAAGCATAATAAAAGTCAACTTTAAATATGAAACTCGTCACTCTCGTTATTGTGAAAGTAATGACAGAAGAAGTTCCATCATTTTATTAGCGACAACAGACAACAAAAAGATAAGAAGAATTAGGAGTGGAATTGACATATGACCAAAATTATGGTATGTAGTGGAAATTAATAAGGTCAAGATAGAACATTAACTTAGAATGTCTTCTCTTTTGAAACATGTTCATCTTCAAGGAAAAAATCCTACTCCACTCTTAGAAGTTGAAAGAGAAAGACTCCAAATAAAACAGCATTCTCATAAATGCTACCCAAATTCTCTAATTCTAATGTATTTAAAAATAAAGTATAAAGAGATGACAGCTATTTCCAGTATCGGTCATCCAAAAATACGAATCCTGATTACAAAAATGAAATTCAAATGCTAGTTCTAGAATATACTGGGTTATAGGTCGAAAGTTAAAAAAAGTAGAAAAAGGAGTTTAGTACTAGGTTCTAGAATATGAGTTTCAAAATTGAAAAAGAAGTTTAGAATGTCCCATTATTGGCCGAACCTCCATTGGTGTCTAACAGTCTTTCACGTGCTTTTCTTACCTTCACATGAACATGCTTGTCTTGGCTGAATTTGTTGCTTCTAATTGGACTTTAATTTGAGCTTAAATAATGCTATTTTCTTCCTGCAATCCCGTACTTTGTATTGAAAGCTCCATATGCTATTTGCACTTAAATCCTAAAAAACACAATTCTAAAGAATATATAAAAAAAAAACACTTTTGTTAAATAATAATATTTTGTTTTGTCAATCTTTTATTAAATTTTTTTAAGAACTGTGTTTCATTCTTTGCATTTATGGTAATTGATTAATCTTAATAGTATATAATATCCTCTTATGGTTATACTTTCATTTCATCTCATCACGGATTTAGGTTTTGGAGCTCGAAGCAAACAAATCACTGAATGAAGGATGTGGTACTCCCGATCGATCTTCTCCGTTACCATGGGATATACTGTTTGAACAGCAGAGAAAGCAAATTATCATGTTATGGCATTTATGCCACATTTCTCTAGTGCACCGGACACAGTTTTATCTTTTGTTAGGCGGGGATCCTTCTGATCAGATATATATGGAAGTTGAACTAAGAAGATTGACCTGGTTGGAACAGCATCTAGCAGAGCTTGGAAATGCTAGTCCTGCACTTCTAGGTGATGAGCCTGCAAGCTCGGTTTCTGCAAGGTAATCCCCTAAATGAAAAAGGTTTTTTTATGTTGTCTTTCAGAAGAAAAACATTAATAGTATTAATCTATTGGTATTAATTGATGGTGAAATGCTGCAGCATCAGAGCTCTGAGGCAGGAAAGGGAATATCTGGCCAAGAAGGTGAACAAACTTACAGCAGAAGAGAGAGAAGTACTTTATGCAAAATGGGAAGTTCCTCCTGTTGGAAAACAAAGGAGGCTGCAACTTGTGAATAAATTGTGGACTGACCCTTATAACATGCAACATGTTCAGGAAAGCGCTGAAATTGTAGCAAAGCTCATTGATTTCAGTGTATCTGATGAAAACAGCCGGGAGATGATTGAACTAAACTTTTCTAGCCCTTTTAATAAGAAATCATGGGCGGGCTGGAACTTTATATCAAATCTTCTAAATTTTTAAACACTAATTGTTGTAGCTGTACTTCATCTATAGTTTAACTGGAATAGAAAAATTTAATTATTACTTTTACATAATTATTACTGCAACTATGTTAGTCTGCCTTTATCCTGAATAAGAAATTTTTTTTGAGAATTAAAACATAATGATAATAGAGGTTAAAGAAAATAAACGATAAATGTTGTTTTAAAAAATAAAAGTATAAATCAAATTAAATGTTAAGGTTAAAAAGAACATCTTAAATAAATTCCGATAATTCACAACATCTATTCTAAAATTTGAATAAAAGTTCAATAAAAATAATTACAAATTCCGATAACTTCATAATAGGAAAAACAAAAGAGTTTGAAATAATAGATTTCAAATTGAGATTTCAATTGTAGAAAATGCTTATTTTACCAGTTTTTTCCATGTTTACCAAGTACCTTTATGAACCTTTAGATGAGAGCATAAAAGAAAAAACAAATATAACAGTGAAAGGAAAAAGCATGATGCATTTCGCAAGTTGCTTGAAGAACATGTTGCTACTGGATTTTCTTACTGTTAAAACTCAATGGTGAGAATTGTTACAATGAAAGATGGAATAACAGGGAAAGAAAAATAAGATATGTTTTTTCCTCATTATGTAGGACAGGGATTTACCTCAATATCAAGCTGTTGCATCAAATACACTGGGTTTCGCCCCAAAAGATTTGTCTGAGGATGCTGCAGAGGATCTTGAGAAACAGGTATCAAATTTGTTCTAGTAATTTCTTTTAAATGTTGATGATGCATTTGTTATTGATGTGTTTTACATAAAGGTTTAGGTGGTCTGGTATGGGTTGAATTTAGTCTAGTTTTTAACCCAACCTAATTAAATTTTATTGATACCAACAAAGAATGGGTAACAGCCGTCCTCTAAATCTCCCAGTAAAAATTTCGTTTCTAATTACCACCTTATGATACGTGTAATTTGTTAAATAGACTCTCGTTAGATCATACTGATACTGATGTAACCATTACATGTTATAAGTGACATATTATGAATTTACAGGTTATAAGTTACAGGTTACAAATTACGTGTTACGGATTATAGCTTACTGGTTAAAAGTTACAAATTATAACTTACAAATTACAGGTTACAAATTAAATGTTACATGTTTTAGGTAACAGGAAGTTATTGGTTTAATCTTTTATTCTTTATAAACATTTCTACGTTAAATATAACATTAACTATTATCATTTTATATTACTTTAATAATTAGAGCATTTTGTTAATCTTTAATTTTTATTAATTAAATAAAAAAATTTAACTGCACATCAATAAAATTTTAAACTAATTTTCATAAACTTTACTTCTAAATCCATTTTCTTAATTACCTCCAAATTCACTCAAACAAACAACAAAAAATTTACCTTCAAATTCATTCCATCATTGTTCTTGAAATCATTTCGTACAAATCTTCTAAGTATAAACAAAGCATTAGTCTATTATTCTTAGCGAGGATTGACGTTCTTCGGGGTTATAGCTAAGAATGGCATTTTTCATCCCACACAATTTTTGCAGGTGCAATAAATGGCTGGAAATCACTGTTTTTCAGTTCATTACTTGATTAGAACACCCAAGCTGACTACCCCTGTTTCCCGTTCTTCTTGTTTAATAAGGACTGATTTTCCTTCTTTAGGTTTACTTCCACTCTTTGAAAAACCATCAACTTCTCCGTTGGCCACTGATTTTGAAGAGGCCTTCTGATCTGTAGTTTTAGTATCTACAATTTCTTCTTCATGCTCCTCCATCTTTCCTGCATTTTCCATGAGCTTCTGGAACAGCGATCCATGGTTAGAGAGTTCCTCCCTCCTCCTTCACCATACCTTCATGGACCAAAATGATTCTATCAACATGTGAAAGGAAATGCAGCTGATTCGTAACAAGAACTTGGGTCTTCCCTCTCAATTCTCCCTTGATGCATTTATCAAAAACCTGAGATATTATAGTAGGCCAGATTAGACTGTTGTAAGATAATACTAAGATTGTAAATCAAATTTCAAGTTGACACGAAGATAAGCAACATGCGCATCCAGAGCACTTAGGGGGTCATCAAAGATGTACACTTTTCTTAAAAACATCTATAATATTAATAACTTTCTTTTTAATTTTACATATAAACTTGTTATTATTAATAAATATTAATGTATATTAATGAAATTTAAACAAGATAAATCAACTATTTTTTTTAATGTTTTACCATCGGGATAAAAAGATATTTGTATAGATTGAGTATAAAATTTTTAATTGGATATGAGAACGAATATATATAATTTTTTTTCATTCTATCTCATTATTTATCTTTATTTTGGTTTTAAATTAATAAAATAATTTAAATTTATTTAGTAATTTGAAAAATTATTGCACATAGTTAATAATATTACTTCCTTTTATAATTATTTAAATTTCATCTAATTGTTATTTGATATTCATATAACTGTGTTTTTTTTAAATAACTATAAAAATGCCTACAAACCACATAATAATAATCAAAGTAAGTTCTTAAGACCACCGATTAATAATAAACTAGAAAAAGAGAGAGAATAACACATGTAAATGAACACTCATACATAACCTTAAACTAAAAATTAAAGAAAAATGAGTAGAAATTTACTTGTTCTATAATGAAAACTGATCCGTGAGATTAGAAAGTTCACTATTGAAAGAAGCAAAAAAGAGAAAAAAAAAGTTGTAATCTCTTTTACCATGTCAGCACAAAGTTAACGTCGCGTATTAAATGAAAGAGACTCGATTAAGACAGATTTTATGAAGTGTGGAAACAATTAAATTTTTTTAAAAAGATAGAACCATTGTAACAAACTAGGAACAAGGAAGACAATTAAACTTATTATATTTATATACATAATAGTATCACTTAAAAAATAATATATTTATATAATTATTATTTAAATTTACTTAAATATTTAACTTACTTTATTATCATTAAATTTTTTATATTTATATCATTTTAAAAATTTACTTATATTTAATAATTATTATAATATTAATAGTATATTAGATATTCTAAAATATGAATACAAATACTATCACTCAAAATATAATATAATATATTATAAATATTAAAAAAATGCGAATACAAATAATACTGTGTTTTCACTGGTTTTTATAATTAGGATTAGGATTCCTTTGTCTCTAATAAAAAGAGAAGGGTTTGGTAGAAAGAAGTAGGGTTTGAGTTGCATAGCATAGGAGAGAGATGGGAAGAGAAAGAGAGGCAACGAAGGTAGCATACACAGTGGAGCAGCTTGTGGCCTTCAATCGATACAATCCTGATATTCTTCCAGATCTCGAAAACTATGTCAACGATCAGGTTCCTTCTCCCTCTCTTTTCTCTATATCCAATTTGCTTCCTCTTCCACTTTTTCCTAAATCAAAAACCTCGGTTTCCAACCACGCACTTCTATGTCAATGCTCAATAACAATTTCTCTCTCTTGCTAGGTTTCATCTCAAACATATAGCTTGGACGCCAATCTCTGCCTTCTTCGCCTTTACCAGGTATTTCTCTTTTTTCCATCTCAATGAAACTTGTTAATTGAGTAGTTGTGAGTTGCTAGTTGCTAGTAATAGTTTGATTATCGATTGCTGCAGTTTGAACCGGAAAAAATGAGTTCCCAGATTGTGGCCCGCATATTGGTTAAGGTGTGCTTATTTTTTTTCTGTGTTGGCTTATTGGTTGGATTGTGAATGCCATCACGTGCTTAAATTTTGTTAACGATTTTCTTTTTATCTTTGAACAGGCGCTTATGGCAATGCCGGCCCCAGATTTCAGCCTATGTCTCTTTTTAATTCCAGAACGTGTGGTATGATTCTCGCAGATGATGATTCTTTTCTTTCTTTTATTTTGTGTTGCTTTCACTCACAAATAAATAGAGGTTTGAATCAGTTAGTGACTCTAGTTAATGATCAATCTGTTGCATTTTATGAATTTTACTCGGTTGAATTTATAATGTTTTATGGGATTTGCTATGACAATAATTAAAGTACGCCAAGTTGTCCCAAGTGATGACAATACACATTTCAGGGACGAAGCATTAGAATATTGATTTTGCCAATTCCTTCCCAACCGAAATCATTCTTGAACATGTGATAGCAATTCGGCAAATTTTCCAAACACTCCTCAATTATCCTTTTTGATTAGTTTTCAAGTTGCCAATTCTTTAGTTGTATAACTTCAACCACAGAAAGGAAAAGCAGTCAAGGCAGTGTAGCTAATCCAAAAGTTATAGGATAGTTTAGTTCAAATCCATGAATGAACTGAAAGAGAAAATGAGAATGGGAGGTCCGTTGAAGTTCCAATTCAACCTTAAATTTATAAGTTTTGGTTTTATATGCCAGTTTAGCATTCAGCCTAATCATATCATTATCAATGCTTTTCCTTGTTTTTGGACCTTACTGCTGTTGATTTATTTCTTTGTGTTATTCTTTTATGAATCTTAGCAAATGGAGGAGCAGTTCAAGACTTTGATTGTTCTGTCTCATTATTTGGAGGTAAGCTTTGGCGTTATTTGTTCTAGCACTAATTAGGCATTTAAAATTAGAAATTAATACATGCCTCTTCAGACAGGAAGATTTCGTCAGTTCTGGGATGAAGCAGCTAAAAGTCGCCATATAGTTGAAGCTGTGCCAGGTTGTTATATATTTTTAATTTATGAAATGGTAATTAGATATAATGACTGATGAACTTTGAATAATTTAATCAATTGATTTCAAATCTAAAAAAAAATACGTTGCTGCTTTATTTCGTCATGCTCTATCTGGTTAATTAGACCTTGCCATTTGAAAGCTTAATTATCCCCCTTGCCATGAAATTGAGCTTATATTATAGGACTAGCCATACATATTATATAGTTGTCTTCTCTTCCCCTTTTTTGAAATAATGCACTCTTTGTAATGTTATGCTACACTGTCTTATATAGATGATAGATGATAATATAGCTTTTTCGGGAAACAACTGGGATTTTCACCTTGGGTTCATTTGATACAGGAGAAAAATTGAGTAGACGATGATAAAAAGGTGAGTGAAATTGGTCAGAAATGAAACGAAAATTAAAGGTGTTTAGTTGAATAGGAATAGTGAATAAATCAGAGATATTGAGATGAATATGTGAGAAATAGAATGGAAAGTGGTGGTGGAATCCACTAACTTTGATTTTCTCCTCGGTATCTCTATTATGCTAAGCGAACCTAATTAAGTCTGTCATCCTATTTCTAATCTAACACCCCTCCCCCCATCAAAACCTGCACACCATTAGGCTTGACGAAGGCTTCCCCTTGTTGACACTGATTAAGCTCGTAGGCTTCATTTTTTTCCTCATTCTTATTAGAGATCAGATTAATGGTGTGCCATTGACATTGACTAGGCTTAAAAGATTCGTTTTTCCCTATTAATTAATGCTTATATAGACGCTAAATTTGAATTTTATTGCAGGGTTTGAGCAGGCAATTCAAGGATATGCAGTCCATGTCCTTTCCCTGACTTACCAAAAGATTCCTAGAACTGTTCTTGCTGAGGTATGTTTGTTATTTTGTCCATTTCAAGCATTGTCTCATTGCATAGTGGAAGAGTGTTTCGTCTCTAGCTAAGCTAGAAGTCGTTAGCCCAAAATCCTTGTTTTTATTCCCTAATTGCTTGTTGAACTGGTGTTTAATGTGACTCGTACCGTAAGAATGCAACATTTCTGAAGTCCGCTATGATCCTCTATTTATTCTTTGGATGTTAAATAGTTCTTGGAAACTTTGGCAACTTGTTATTTGCATTTTTCTCACTGTTTGTCAGAAACAATTGAGTCAAACCATTGACTGGTATTGTGTATTCTTTTATTAATTCCACTTACCTGTACGAGTCAGACAGGAACCTAGTTTCTCATATTATTTTGAAATGTATGATCATTGATTCTTTGTTAAACTTTCATAGGCTATTAACATCGAAGGTTTATCCTTGGACAAATTTCTTGAGCACCAAGTAGCCAACAGTGGTTGGGTTATTGAGAAAAGCCAAGGCAGGGGTCAAGTCATTGTCCTTCCGAGAAATGAATTTAATGACCCAGCTTTGAAGAAAAATGCTGCAGACAGTGTACCATTGGAGCACATTACCCGCATCTTCCCCATTCTTAGTTGATTTCTTTTCCGGGTAGAATGCGAATTTTCTTTCTGAAGGATTTGTACGAATGAGACCAGTTGGAGCAACATCTTACAATTTTCCCCTCGATACTTAAATTACAATTAGTGGACACCTATTGTAGTTTACTCATGTTTTATCGTCCTGTCTGAAAAATTAATCTATTGTGGGTACGTTCTAAAATACGACCCTATTTATTATTCTCTTTAGTTTACAGGGTGCGAAGGGCGAGTTTTAAAGAAACTTTTATTGCGTATTGTGCTTTTCTTTAGACCGCTAAAGAGAATTAGAATTTTCTTGCACTCGAAAATTTATGTCTAATGTTAACGGATCAACCCTCTTCATAAAATCTTTATATTAAGTTATACTATTTTATCTCTAACTAAAATTGTGAAGTTTGTGGTTTATCTACTGTATCGTATCACTGTCTCTGATCAGTCATAGATTGAATCGGTCAATTGTTTGTAAGGTCAAACAAACCATTATAAAGACCATACAGTCGTGGAGTCTGATGGATTGAGTAATGATGCAATTAATTATGATGTTGAATAATTTAAGGGAAGATGTGTTTATTAACAATTATTTGGTCGGGTTGTTAACAAAAGGTCTATTTAAAAATTTATAAATATATATTTAACGTAGAAGTTAAGTGAATATATTTATTATTTATAAATATATATTTAAGGTGAAAAGTTAAGTGAATGTATTTATTATTTATTAAAGAGTTAGGTGAATAAAAGTTAAATGATAGTTCATTACTAAACTCACAATGCAGGGTCATCTGGGGAGTATATTTCATTACATTTTATCTAAATTTTATAAATCTGACTATCAAAATTGTAAAGAAAAAAAAACGAAGCCAAGCTAAGAGGAAAACAAATTAAACTTGGAAAACCGAAATTAATATTAGTCTTTAATATCTAAAATTCACTCGGCACAAATTTGAAACCTGCAGCCCCGGCTGCAGCCCCGGATGTTAGTATCGATTGTTCAAAGGGTTGAGTGGAAGTTCAATCGCAGAAAGTATAAGGTGTGAGGAATTTCGAACTGAATATGAATCTGAGAAAGTGACATTCCCTGTCGAGGGAAGCAAATGAAGTGATGGAGTTGTGAAATATTTTGGAATGGGGAAGAATAAGAATAATGATGAGCTAATCAATTCATATTGGATTAAATTGACCTAATTGTTAATCAATTTTGTTTTCAACTGAGGCAGAACCATTTACCTTGATGCGGTAATGATTTTATTGGATATCATATTTTATGATTGATTGGGCCATGCACAGAATGCAACATATTGCCGACAACTACCAACCATTGTAGTACTTATAACAACAGCTAAACAATTTATTTCCTTTTTTAACTTGATAAAAAGAACGTTTTAGAATATATCACGCTAAAATTCGTTATAAACACTTATTCCGCTTCTTCAATGTTTAATCCACCACCTTACAACAAGCAAAGTTTACTTAAAAAGAATCAATTATCTACAATTCTAAAAGTAAAACTCCCACAAGCAGGGTAATAATATTTACAGAAAAGTGCACCTACTATAACTGCTCAAAGAAAATTGAAAATATAGAACTCCAAGAAGGCAACAACTTAAAATAGAATAAAAGGAAAAGACCGAAGAATTTTACAAGCACTTGCTATGCACTATTTTTTTTTCTACTAAGCCTTGAGGGTTGGATCGAGATTTTGACAACAGAATTAATGCTGCATGTCAATGCCGAGACTGGCCTCAGGATTGTTCTTAGATTAGCACCACAAACACAGAAAAGCCTACCCAAATGCCTGGTTCTGTTCTTTATCCGGTTCCTTCTCTCTAGTCTCTTCTAATCAGCATGTTTGGACCAAGCAAAAAAAATGTCAATTATATATTAGTGCAAGATATCATGTGGAAAGTTCAATGGCAAAGTGTTTGTCCATAAGTCACCCATTGTACAAAAGTATCTGGAAATTCCTCTCCTGTGTTGGATTGTGAATTACCATACGGTAACTCAGATTCAGTTCGCCCTCTTCCCTGAAAATATTACATAGAACTTAGTGTCAGAATTCAGAAATAAAGACCAAGTAATTTAAAAAAATACACTTATTGGAAGTTTGGACTGACATAAAAACTCCTGCAGATGCTACCCTTGGTAGTCCAAGAATAGCCTAAAACACTTTTCTACCAAAAACAACGAGGTCCAAACTCATGCCAAAAAACTACATACTGCATCATGTGAATGAAAACTAGAATGTACAATTAGAGGATTCAATAAATTAATTACATCCTGTTCCCTGGTATTGAAGTACAATGAATCTTTAAGAATAAGGAAGTTGTGAATGTGATTGTTCAAAAACTGCCTCTTAATTGTTGGCACCCCTAGCTTATTTAGTTGTGACTTCTTTGGGAGCTGCCTTAATTGCACCCCTAAAGGTGATGTTTAATCTCCCATCGGCTAGAAATGACTTAAATAGAACTTATTAGGCTAAATTTTGTTGAGCTGAATGTGATCTTCAGCTGAAATTCTAAGAATGATATTATGCTGTATCAGAAAGGGAGTTACCTTTAGGCTGGAGGCCCCCCAATCACTTGTGGAGGCAGTTGCTTCTCCTACCATTATTCCATTGACAACATTTTCGGAAGAAACTCCGGCAATTGGAGAGTTAGTGATTGATGATCTGCGACCAACATCAACTTACTTTAAACTCAACAAAATCATTTTCGGGTATAACCAAGACAGTCAATTAATTGCATAGACAATACAACTCCTATATAAAAGGTGTTACCTCTCAAATGGCTCTTCTTCACATGAATTTGCTGAAGAAGACAGCCAATCCAGATCAACAAAGTTGGAGCAGCTGAAGGAATCTCCGTGGTCAGAATAGCAAATATGATCACTTTCAACGCAACGCTCTCTTTGCATGTCTCCAAAGAGATGTCTCCGAGGCATTGTGGGAGTGTACCTATACAAACAAAATGAATTGTGCATTATACACATCCAGGCTCAAATGGAGAAAATGAAGAAGCAAATTGCGGAACACACGATCATGCAAGCAGGTAACACGAGTTCCAATTTGTATCAGTACAATAAGAGCTCATTGAACATTTTAGATTACAAATGTACACACTGAAAATACAACTTAAAGAAAAAATAGGACAATCTAAAATAGAACAACATTTTCACATCTTCTAGAAAATATTTATCACATAAAATTTCTTATTCAGAAAGTCTTGCTTTGCAAAGACAAAAATTCTACAATCACGCAGATGAGAGACGGTAGAAAAGATAGACTGTATGAAATGGGATACTGGTTATCTATTTCCTATAGTATAACTTAAAACAGACTACACTTGAGTTCACGTCAATACAAGACACAAACCTTGAAAACGAGATGTCATTCTCAGCAGAAGATATTTCGGGTGATGATTCACAAAGATCCTTGCCTCCATCTTCTAATCGATCTGACAAGTATTGGCTTTGGAATTTTACGTGGCTGGCATTTGGGGCTGACATTGGTGTGGAACTTTCATTAAGAATGTTCCCATCTGAGAAGGATCTTTTAAAAAATGACCTAAAAAACCCATTTCACAGTTACCATATTAGCTACATAGACTAGCATTTTCAATGCACATGCTTCAAGTTATTATTATATTCACAGCAAACCTAAATGATCATGAAATACCAACAAATTGGTCACTAGGGCAAACCTAAAGTGCATATTAGTTGAGAGAAGCATAAAGTAAATGTAATTTCATCAATCTTCTACGTAATTGATGACTTCAGATGGAAGATCAATGATTTCGTTACTCTCAGCACTTTTCCGCAACTTGTCTTCAACCCCTGTAGTCCTCTTCCTCTCAAATTCAAAATTTAGAACCATAGTGTTTCATCATTTACTTCTAGTTCAGAGATTGTGTTGCAAGGGAATTATTCTAATAAATTTTATCTGTTTGGAGTAGCTTCCCCGGAGTTGGAGGAGTTTTCTGATGATACAGACAGTTTGTTGAAGTGTAGCTAATCATGTGCAGAATCTGTGACAAATGAATATTGTAATTTATCTATTCTGTCATTTTAGTTTATTAGGCTAATCATTTTAGTCAATTTGAATATTTTAGATCCTTGTTTTAATGATTTATATTTAAATTATGATTGTTTAGAATTTGACTGATCAACCTTCAGCAAGGCCTGCAACAATATGCATTTTTCTTCAATAGTAGAATATCAGAATCACCATATGCTATCCTATGGCCAATTTGGTAGGAGATAAACGCCTACAGACAGTTTTAAAATGTATCACCATTACATTTAGTTCAGACAATTAGGCTTAAAAGTATTCTTAGGTTTAGGATTGGTTACAACTTAGGGTTTAAAAAATGGGTACATAAGGTTGTAATAGGTTAGGGGATAATTCAGCTTTTCTGAATAACAAATAATTATCTTTCAGATCCCCTGGCTAATTATTGCAAAGATCATCCCTCTATTAGCTATGTACCCCATCTCTTCACCTTGTTCGGTGCTTGACTCCCAATATCTCATGAATGCAACAATTTAAACCTAGTCCTTTTAATCTCTGAATCAACTTTTAATTTAGATTGTTTTATCAAAGTGTCCACAAGAGTGTGTCTGTTTCATAAAACCCTAATGCAAGATCTTCAAGCAAGGACCAATTCATACAAGTTTAGGAATCACGTGGAATTCCATGGCATAAATTGCATTTAAATACCTTGAATCATCCTCTCCAGGTCTTGCTGTATCATAGAGTTGATCTGAATCCAACTCCCATAGAGCAGGCTTACCCTGTTGTGGCTGAAAATGCCCCAGAAATCTGCGTCCAGTATATAGAATGATCAACTTATGATTAGAAGATGAGATAGAGTGAAAATTACGAAGATATCTTTACAAACGCATGATATATCACAAAAAGTGCAAGCTGCCACAGAAATCACAAAAGGTGCTACAATGCCAGAGGACAGAAAGGCATGCAGAGGGATTGGAAAAGTCTGCTGATTTTCCCTGATTTGCTTTTGCTTTTTGCAATATGTGAGGAGGATTCCTAATCTAAATATTCATTTTCTCGTTTAAAATAACTCTCTTCTTCAAAACAAAATTTCCCTATTAAATGGAGAGACAGGGACAGAACAGGAAAAACAAACAAACCAGATAGCATACATGCTATAATCCAAAACT